CGGCAATGGCATTTTATGAATTTGAACTTAAACCTAATACTTATGTATATTAATTATATTATATTATATGTTATTATGCGAATGTCACTACTTAAGCTTTATTGTAAATTCATAATGAAATTAAATATTATTGTTAAGTATTAGTTACTCAATATATAGTAAGGGACATGTATTGCGATATTGTCACAATACTTACGAATTTCTTTAATAAAACAACTGACAAAGATAATCACCTATAATAAATTAAGAAATTATGTGGTTTGCTGTGGTTTTTTTTGGCATAACTTATTGGTATTATTGTAATTTTTTAATTTTTTCTGCATCAGTTTTATTATCAGCGTAATTGAATCATTTCTGTAAATTTTGGATATTGTGAGCTTTAAGTAAAATAAATATACTTACCTTGAAGCTGGGCTGCACCAACGCTATATAATTTTAGGCTATCAATCGAACGTTGGTATTTACTACAATTTCGAGTAAGGTAATTAGATAAAAATTAGGTAAATTAGGTGTTACTATTGCGAAAATTTTTAAAGATGTTTAATAAATAAATTTGAAAACTTTTAACCAAAAATAATTAATAAGTGTAATTAATAAATATTTACATTGGTGCAGTGCAAAAATCCTTAGAAAATTTCAATTTACTTTACCTCAATTTACTCGAACTCGCAGACGGCTCTAATATCATAATATGCTAATTCCTATTCGGTATTGTTGATTATGTATTTAAAAAAAACACTGAAATAAAATAAATCTTTCTGATAAATCTTTAAATGTATATAGTAAAATCAAGTTCAAATTTTTGGATGTTCTAATTTCTAAGAGTTTTAATTTATAAGCGAGAACAGCATGAGCATAACCATTGCAAATTCTTGATCCTTGAAGATAAACTCTTCGTAACATATTACGAGCAGCACCTTTTATAATTACTTCGTAAATGTATAATGATTATATATTAAACTCAATTTATTTTATTTGGTTTGTCAGTATTATTTGCTTTTTTTTAAACTTATTTCAGTAAAAAATTATTTCAATAATTTTTCCCATAATTTTTCTTTACTACAATAATATTCTATTATATTATGACGCGATTATAAACCTTTATTCTGTTTCATACTAAATCTCATTAGGAAAATATCGGGTAATTGTCATCACCAATAGCCATTAGCTTATAATGGTATACTGAGCCACCAATAAAGTCTTCCATCTTTAACAATCACACTCCTCCACACAATGCGTTTTTGCGGCTTGTAATCAAAAACTCTTTCTTTACTCTCTCTTTCCGCAATAAAATAATTAAAGGTGACAATAGCTGCGCTACACAATTTAATTAGTAACTCTGCATTATCGATTCCTCTGTCAACCGCATGCTTTTGAAAACCACACTTTTATTGCCGCTTAGACTCTAATAATGTATTAAATATCACTTACTTAATTATTTTAAATTAAATAAAAAATAAATTATGTATGTATAAATTAATAGAATAGTCACATAATTTTATATAAACAATTTTTGAAAATTTATGTGCATGCATACTTCTGCAATCCTGAACTTGACACACTACTTTCCCCAAAAACATCCGCAGACCCAAATACTGACAATAAAATAATTTATTTAAATTGTGCATAATTAAGTAAATAAATGTACAAAAAAAGCATGAAATTATGTTGTTACTGACTCTTCACAGGGGACACATATAGTAACATATGAAGCTGTATAAGGTGTATAATCGTATAATGCTTTGGACACTTGCTGTGCTCGGCACAGTCAAAGGGAGCTCATTCTTGCTTCTTCTTGTTTTCTGTCGCTTTTGGGAGCAGTTTAAATGCTTTAAACGTTGTTGCTGGAACGCTGAAAAACGAACTCTAAATTGATTGTGTGTGCATTGATTAATTTACGGTACAAAATTAATCCGGAATTATTATGAAATTTTACTCATTTCTTCTGTCCCAAAAAAATTTTAATCTCTTGTGTATTTTTTTGTTTTGATGTTTTGAGTGTTGTCTGCAAATTGTATAAAATGATATAAAAAGTAACAAAAAAAAAAAAAAAAAAAATTAATTTATTTTGGTGGAAAATTAGCATAGTTAGGTGAATGTTGCGTATGCAGCGATGGCTCGGATTTGTGATGTAATTTTACTTTTTGTTCACATGTCAACCTCAACGTTTGGTATGCAAAATTCGTTACAAATATTTTCTTGGTATTTTTTCTTTTGGATTTTATGAACTTTTCAGTTTAAAAACAACGAAAAAAGTATATAATCTTGTTATGTGTGGTGGCGTTAATGAGATTAAAAAAGCTAAACTGGATTTCACATAGGACTCTTAGTACGGGAAATGGGGATTGGATTACAGATATTCTGGAATATCGACAAAAATTAGTTTAATTTTTGTTTAAGAATTGAATTATTAGGAAATCCAACCATGATTCCCTGTGTTAATCTTAAAAAAGGTAGTATTTCAAGAATTTTAAATGAAACAATCCAGACATCATTCAGGTTTTTATGGAGGCTATATGGAAGTACTGGGCTCATTTCAATAAAATCTTTAGTTGTCAATAATATTAAAACCTATAAATATAGTGACGAAAATGCTTTCAACAAATTTTAAGGTGTCAGTGTCTTCAAATTAAATCTTTGTAAGGAGCATTTAAGGAATTAATAATATACTTGAACATACTTATACATATATTACTATAATATTAAGAATAACAATAACGAAAACAGCAAATAGTAGTGAAAGTAAAAAATATTTCCCTCGAAAATATCTGTTCAAAAATAATATCTTATAAATACATAACTTCAGTTAGATAAAATACTTCAACACACATTATGAAGTGTAAAGTGTACGAAATGCTTTAGTAATAAGGATTATGTAGTATTTCAATGTCAAACCTTTCCACAACTCGTTTTGAGAAGAATAAATTTGAAATCCATTAGATTCGCTATTTCATTACCTACAGTGAAGCACACTTTTGATATATAATTTAGCTTAATAGTTCATGGATTCAGGTTCGCAAATCCAGCGACAAGTGACTTTTCTTATTGAGTTCTTATAATACTAGACTTCAATGACAAAAACACAATATAAAACTCAATTCAGAATATAGAAAAACTTTTATAATCCATAATTCATCATACTGCACTTTTCTTGCAAATATGATATGGAGCAAATCAAAATTAGAGGATCTCTTTTTTTTAAAGACAGAACTTCATTACAATCCCAATTTTCGTACTGTGTACCACAAATGGATTATATAGTATTTCGTTTTAAAATCTTTCCATAACTCGTTTTGGGAAGACAAAATTTTAGATCAATCAGATTTGCGATTAAATTCCATTGTCTGCAGTGAAGCATAGATTAGTACTCGTATATCATTTTCACTAAGCAGTTAATGGATTCAGGTTCGACAAACCTGTGACATCTAACTTCAATTGTTGCGATTGTGCGACATTAGACGTATCAAGCATCTGTGAGTTTAAATCCAGTTCATGGATTCTATTTTAAAATCGCTATTAATACTTTGTATCATGTAAAATTTTATTGCTATATATTTAAATTAAGTATATTTTACATATTTTAATTAAATTTTTTGAATATCTGTAACAAAATCTTTAGCAATGTATATTTTGCAATAACCACTTACATACATCTGAATACTCGAATTTGAAAATCGGAAATAAATTTTTTAATCAAAACTGAAATTTCTCCGCAGTAATTTGTTATGCCTCTTGAGTATTCCGATGAATTTGTTATTCCTCAACCTCAACCTCAAACTGCGACCGCAGATCTCTAAAAATCTTGGTTGTTAATTTTGTAATCAATTAAACAACGATAGAGGAGTGTGTTAATATTGTCAAATTTAAGTTTTATAATCATGTTAATGCTGTATTTAATGAATATATTTGCCGATGTAGCTCTGAACTACAAATGCACAAAAAACAAAAACTGTTGCTTATTAATTTAGTGATCAAGCTTAACATTTGTTTTTCATGTAAGTAGCATTGAAAGAGTAGCGATAATTAACTGAAATGCGTAAATGCCTAATTAATAAGGTAGCCTTTTATTATGTTGAAAAAAGTGAATACCAAACATTGGTTTTTCTTATTTTTATACGAATATACACATATAATTTTTATTATGCCCTGCACTATATTATTTTGGGATATAGATACCCATCCAACAAAAAATAAGATATATGGTGAAGCTTAGATATGTCTTTCAATAACTAAAATTAACCGAACGTCACGAATATATACGGATACCAAATTATCCATGATTTAATATATAGAGTAATTGTAATAAATTCTTCTAATATTTTTCTTCTTATATTCACAATGCCAATAATATAATTTTTTTTTAGGCTTGCTTTCTTACATATGTTGATAGTATATTCACCACAGTTAGCTGAACGTATTAAAATCTCACATTACTTTTCAACTAGTAGCCATCCGTCAGTTATTAGCTGTCAAATTTTGAGTTAAGTTCGCTGCATGCTTCTGTAGATCAATAATTTCTATAGTGCGCTTGCGGTATGATGATCTCACATTACTTTTCAACGCGTTGTCTGTTAGTTATCAACTATTCAATTTTATATACAATTCACAGAATGGGTCCATTTCTGTAGACAAATAAATCTGTGCATGTTTGGTAGAATCCTTTTTTTGAATATCTACATAGGAAAAGTT